TAGCCTCGCTTCAGCTGTTGCTGCTGTCCAACTTGCAGCTCCGATTGCTGTTGGAGTTGCTGCTGCTGCTGCTGCGGCGGCACTGGTCGCTTGGGGATGACGTTGTGGCTTAAGGTGCTATGGGAGCGACCAATAGGACGCCGGCGTAGTCTTTGATTAAAACTAGGAACGAACGGTTCGATTTTCAGCAAAGATGTTTGAGGTAAGTAGTTCTGTTGTTGTTGTTGTTGTAGTTGTTGTTGGGGCTGCGGCGAGGGATTCGTTGCAGCCGGAGTCGCAGCAGGAGCAGCCGCAGGCGCAGGAGCAGGGCAGGCTGCCTCCGGCGTGGGCGTTTCATCGTTGAGTATGGAGCGGCCGCGGCACTTGGCCATGGAGATCAGCTGGCGGCGCCTGGCATGAGTTGCCGCCGATGTCGCTGGCTTCGTCCTTGGCGGCTCCTGGCCTTGCACCTGGACTGGCACCTGGCCCTGCCCCTGCCCCTGCCCCTGGCCCGTTGCCGTGCGTGTGGCACCTTCCACCTTCGAGTTTCATAATAGTTCGATGCGGGCAAGCGACTCCTGGAGAGCTCCGGACATAGTTACGGGGATTTACGATGGTCCTTGCGATGATACCCCTATTTTCGTTGCATAATCTGCAATCCCTAGAGTCTGTTAAATATATAAATATAGGGCGTAAGTTTAGATAAGTAACAGTTCTTGGATAGATGAGTTAGGATTGTTGAATTTAAGCACACGCTGCATTTTGCACTACTTTAAAGGGGATATTAAATACTGGCATTTAGAGTATAACTAATATTTGCTGAACGTTCAAAAATTTTGCTGATTAAAGACCAAAGTGTCTGTATCCTCTCGGAATAACAAGAGAACTAATTTCACATAATCCCATGGGTTGTGTTCCATTTTGGGAATTTAAAACCGATATAAAGGTATTTACAACTGCCTTGCAGTAATTGAAATTTGCTCACCCAGTTTTATATGTAAATCCCAGAAATGACGAAAAACCAGTCCTGGTTATCTAATTTGCAATTGCATTCGGCTCTCCGGTGGACGGATTATGGATTAGTTGCTTCTTTTTGGGGACACACAAATAGATACAGTGGGAGTGCCTCGAATGGAATTGGGAGCGACTGCTCCACTTGAGCTGCTTTTCCCTTCAGTTCTCGTTGATTTTCGGTGATTTTTGTTTGTCGATTGGAGTATTCAGTCTTCTGCGGTACAGAGGGTATAGATATATAGATATGTAGATAAAACTATGGTTTTTGTGTGCTCCTCGAGTGTTGTTGGTCGCCTCCGTGGCAGATCTGAGCCAGGATTCGTGGACTCGCTGGGCTCGGGCATGTGGGCCCATTTTATTAGTTTGTTTATTCGGGTTATACATTCACGGTTTTGGCCTGGCGCGGTTGCCATAGAACACTTGTATGCGGTGCATTTGGAAGACAGTTGCTGTCCCTGTTCCGCTCGCTCGCCGTCCCACTCGCACCGCCTGATTGGCGTTATTAGTTTGTTTATTTAAAGCTCTTTTGGGCCAATTCGAGCCCAAAACAGCCAGCCAGGCCGACTGTCGGAAAGGTGGAACTTGCACACCCAGTCGGCTTGTTGCTGCCACGACTGGCGCTTCTAAACATACCAAAACATTGGATTTCTTGCCTAAATGGCGGTACACCGCGCACGGCGGAGTCCATGGGGATTTCCAGTCGAGTCTCATAACTTACGTGATTACCCGCTAATGCAGCTTATTTTGTTCTATTCAGGTCAATTAGGAACAATATTTTGTTCGCACTTAAAAAGGGTTTCCAGCATTTTTGCTCAATGAACTTAAAAACGATTGATTGCTTTGAATCCATTTAACCCAGAATTTATTATTATTATAAATGCTGCGCAAAGTGCACTCATATAAAGTGCTGTTTTCAAGCAAACTGCTAACGCTTTTCCAGAAAACTCTTTTAAAGATTTTCGCACAGCCCAGGAAAATGCACTTCGTGGTTTGGGCCAGACTTTGGCCGGTTTTTCTCGGCTAGCGCCCTCAGCATTCACCTTGGCCGTGTGCAATTGAAGGGAAAGTCGTTTGCATTAAAAACCCATTTCGTGGCTTTCATAGCTCTTGTTGTTGTTATTGCTGCGGCCGGCTGGCTGGCTTTGTTGTTGCTGATGGAAACTGTTTTGATTTGCGTATGGCCCCAACTATCAGGCAAGCACAGTGGGCGGGCACAGTGGGGCGGAGCGGGTGGGACACGCACATAATTGCCTGCCATCGTAATGGATTCACGTGCCTGCTGAGCCGCACTCGTTGTTCTGGCCGTAATGTTCTTGCGAAATATGCAAAAGTTAAGCGCCAACCGCAGGCGAGACCCAGCTACACTGAACGAAAATGTGCAGACTGCGATGCACTGAAAGGAAAGCGCCTTGCAATTCTAAAGTTCCATATTATGTATCATCACAAAACTGTAACATTAAGATATTTATTATTTATTTTTAACTATTTATAACATTTTTAATGACATTACTATTATTTTTCTTGATTTAATTTGCACATAAGTTACTGAGACATTTTTATTTTCTTTCTATGACCCTATTTGTCCCAGTGCACACACACCTAAGCAATTAAGGCGCAAGAGAGCGAGACGCAACGAGGGATATCGCATCCTGGCAAATTGCCCGCTGTGAGGGCGGCGCGTGCGAAAGAGACGGGCAACCGAATCGAAGACACTGCAACAATTCGAATTTAATTGACGCCAGTCGGCGGCAGCAACAAAAATCGAAGAGTGTGCGTGCGCTGGCATTTATGAGACGAGCTTCGCCGGAAAGAAAGGATCCTCTTGCCACCTGGCAATAACTGAGCCGTTGATTGGCACTGAGACCAGGTGCAAGAGCTTCATCCCCCCTCGGATTTTCACCTGCCATCCCACTTGAATCGAGTTATTAGCCTCGTCGCCGGGCAATGAACTTTTTCGCAGTGGGCAACAAGTGGAGGCGAAGCCACCACGAGAAGTGCGCGAAAATCCTTCAGGAGTGCAGGTATGCAGAGTTTTTATTTCTTATAAAAGGTTTACCCAGCACGTATCTTATTTTTGCCCAAATCAATCATACGACATGTTGCCAATGCAACGAAAATTATTGCTCATACGACACGGTAGCCAGGTTTAAGTTATTTGATTCAATATTTAATATCAATGAATTGATACTGTGGATATTGGGAACTGTAGAATTAAGCATCGCTTAACAAGCTATAAATGCGAATGGCTGGGAAACATAAACAACGCTCGTTGAGTTTATCAAAGCTGTTGCATGCTGCGATTTCTGTTGCACTCGGGGCTTTGTTAACATTGATGTCCTGTCCGTCCCGCTGCGCCGACTGTTAACCCGAGCGCTGTTTACCGATGCTGCGGTGGCCGCCATTGACATCCTTGCTGGCCATTAATTTCGCAGGCTTTCGCGCGGCGAAAATGGAAAATGTCCACGCTCCCTGGCCCGCCGCTGTTCTAGATAAAGAGTGCAGTGGGAATCGGGCTCGATGGTGCAGTGTTCAACCTTTGGCCTTTCCTTTGTCCAGGCGACAGTCTTCTGCATCGCTTTCACTCTTGTTTTCACTGGGATGCACTGGCAGCAAAAATCTAGTCTGGGCTTAAAAACAGAAATCAAGAAATCGAAAGTTATCTGCTTGTTAAGCAGACCAGAGGTTAGCTATGCGGATTTGGTTTTCACTATGGAAAATATACTTAATTGCCATCATTTTGAGTGCTATTATTCCAAGTGCATTGTTGCACTTGCGCTCATTATCGCGATTGTTGCTGCTGTCGCTGTGCGGTGGCTGTTGTTATTTACTTTTTAATAATTACAGCGCTCTGCAGCAATTGTCCCTGACCACAGGCCCAATGGGTCAGACGACGGGGTGGCGGGGGAGACAGGGACAGGGGAGAGACAAGGACGGCACACGGGCGGGACAGATAGCCGGTCGAGTTGATAAATTGCGCGCACGACGCCCATACAAAGAACGCCAGCTTACGGACACCCACACAGAAACGGACACCTCGCTTATTAGGCACAGTCTGAGTCAACACAATAGGGTTCATGCTTGATTAAGACAAATTAAATCGAACTTAGTTGTACAAACACAGCTGCAACCAAACCAATTGTGAAGTAGATATTAAAATGAATGTTTGACAGTCCGAGTCAACACAATAGGGTTGATGCTTGATTCAGACAAATAAAATCGAACTTATTTGCACAAACACAGCTACAACCAAACCAATTGTGAAGTAGATCTTAAAATGATAAAGAGTAAATGTGAATGCTTATTTGGGAACCGATAAACAGGGGAAAAGCTCTTGTGTGGTATCTCTGGGTGCTTCGGCATCTATTCTAGTGCCTTGCCGTGCACTGTAGATGCCGGGGTCTCATGATAAGCTAGCCAACTGTCCGCCAGTTCATCCCACCCACCCAAACACCCACCATCGCGGCATCCTTGGACTTTCCCAGCGATGGTCGAGCAATTTAATCAGACGGCAGAGCGCAGAAAAGCTGATAATACCGTTATGAATAATTTACCCGCAAACGCACACACACTCGCTGATGGGAAGTGAAACGCGTTTTATTATTGTTTCTGGACCTGTCTCTTTGGTTTTATTTATAATTAATATAGCAGCGGCCGAGTGTAATGTGAAAACATCACATAAAAGCACTTGTTGTTTGCACTTTTGCTTTCGAGCCTTTAAGAAGCTGCGTGTGAAATCGTTTTAATTAGGTGCGGTAACTTCTTGCGGCTGACCAGTGGAATGTCACATTCACCTCTGAACTCTGCACTCTGCACTCTGCCGTTGGGCTTTCTGTCAAAATCAATGTGCAGCCCCACCGCAAATATCATGAATGCAAGTTGTTTGCGGTGGGCAGTAATATCGAAATTTAGTCTTCGCCGGCGACCGCAGTGAATGAAGCAACCAGAAATGAACATTTGTACCACCCCAGTAATAATTAGGGATAACAAAGGATAATTACATAATTGGATTAAAGAATACATACTTTTAATTAATTCAAGTCAAGTTAAACAATCAAGTTGCTTTACTTACATATATTCACACAAGCAAATGGTTTTACGATTCTTCAAAAAATCGCATGTGAAAATTGACTTAAAAATGTTTGCCAGTTCAGAAGGTTAATAACATCTTACCGCAGTCTTTCTTAAATATACCATACTTCTACATAATGCAATGTAACTTTTAATTATTTTGATTTCGGCTCTTGTGTAATGGCAGATTGTAGCTCGGGCTACAATACTTTGTTCACGTACATTTCGGACTAGTTTACATCTCAGAGATAGGCTTGGGTTCCTTTAGGCGCTCAGCTCGTTTCCCCCTGCTTCGCCTGGAGAACCACAGCAATCTGGAGCGCCTTTGCGCTGTGACCACATCGGATTCCGCATGGATGCAGCTCCTCCCGCCCGACAACTTGACCAACTTCGCGTCCGGATCCAGTTCGCTGGCATTGAGTATTTGTGCGACGTGTGCCTCGTCGATTGTGCCCTTGAAGATGAGGGGATAGGGCCACTCGTGGCATATCGTGGGTCCGCTGTAGTCCCTCAGAGCGTCGATCATCCTGTCCAGACGCCTCATCTCCTCGTGGTCGTCGTTGAATTCGCGCACCTCATCCAGCAGAGCGGCCACATCGGATTCGAGCACCTGCGAGGTGGGTTTAAAATTGGATTAGCAAGGAAATCGCTTATTTTGCTCGATTTGCACTGGGGTATCCAATGACACAATGACACTGACGGCGTTACGGTCACTGATAGCCTTACTTTCCCTCTGGCTGAGCTATCCACCCACCCAGCCTGCCGACCCCCTCTTATTCGCGCCATTCATTCGGCGATGTTGGCTCGGATTTCAGCTCCAATATCTTTCCAAAGGCCTCGTCACTAGCGTCTCTATTAGTGCCAAATTAAGCCCAGAAACACGGCCAACTAAGCTCATGTTGAGTGCATGTTTCCAAGGGGTGAACAGTGAACCCTGCCTCGAACACCCTTCCTCACAAAAGTAGGTCTCAAAAGTATCTAACGTGGAAGTGCTTTCTGTATCATTTCCCTGTATCGTTTCAAGTTCTAAACAATTAACCACGTAATTGTTATTTTAAATTAGTTGGGAATGTCTGCTCTGTAAATTTACTTGCTGCTTCAATTATGCAATTAATATCGCTTCATCATCTTGCGCGGAGAGCTCTATACCTATTCACCTGGCCAGGACTGTGCTACACATTGCGAGCCCCTCGTTTGCCTATGGCCGAACCGACATTGTCTAATTAGCGGTGCCAGTAATCACTGCAGCCCCAAGCCCCCCACCCCCCACCCCGCAGCCCCAACCCTCTCACTCGCCCGACATTCTAACATTTCGTTCCCAATAACTGGCTATAATTGCATTAACATGTACCAAATCGCTGCTGCAGCTGTTAACAGAGTTGCCGGTCGCAAAATGTTGGACAACAGGTGATAGCAGGTGAAATGGCGATAATAAATGGGAAGGGCCAAAAGGGTTAATCACATAGTCGGTCGACCAGTAATGAGCTGAATGCAAGGAATATGATGACAAACTTTCACTGAGGAAATCAATTTAAAGAGGTAGCGTTACTTTTCTAAATATTGCGCATACGACTAGTTGAACGCAGTACATGTATATAGATTCTTTTTTTGAAACTAGCTAACTTCCAAATTGGTATCCAAATAATGGAGCTGTTTTACGGGTGAAAGCCGACGTGATCAGAAAGTGCTTGTGAAAGCACTGATAACATTTTGGAAGCGATGGAGCGATAAGAAAAGTGGCACAAAGACCAGATAAGAGGGAAATTATATAGACTGAGATACAGTTGCACATGCAACAGATACAGAATCTGTCAGTGCGACCCACAACAAAAGTGTAACTCTGCAGGTTTGCAGGGCGAAAAAGGGGGGAGTTCGGCGATCAATTACCAAAAACTCAATATGCAGATTAATAACACACTTTAGCACTTGGCCAACACGACCGCGCAAACTTTCCACGCTGCGGAGCAGCTGCCTCCGCCGCTGCACCGCCGCACTAATTGGCTCTGTCATCGCGGCATCTGCGATGGCCCGAATGTTTTATTTTTTATTTGCCCACCACCGGCGACACTTGTCCAATTTTCGGTTCGTTTTCGGACTTTTACATAGCACTAATTCGTGTTTGGTGTTTTTTCGCTTATTTATTTGCTGTACTCTCTCGCTCGCCGCCTTTGTTTTCCTCCACATACGGGTATTTCCGCGGAATTCCGCTCGCGAACAGCGCTCGACGTCGACTGAGGCCTCTTCTTTCATTGGGCAAATTGTTTACGTGCGTCAATCAGCCGGGCACTTGAGTGCATGAGTATGGGTTCATTCATTCATAGCCGCTCAAAACACTAACTGACTTTTGAAGCCAACTGCATTTAGTTGCTTCGACATGATGTGTTTTTGGTCGGAATCGACATAAACTATAAGCCACAACGAAGTGGGCAAAGCCTGCGAATGTAGTTATGGATAAATAAAAGTAGTTGCAAGGGCATTTAAGATTTAGGCATCCCGGAAGCAGGCAATGCTTTCCCCCTTTCCATCGTAAGAGTATGCCACACTGGGCTTCTGAATGCAGCCAAGAAGTATGCAGAAGTTCCCGTATTCATATGCCAGCCGCCATGATTGTGGAGCTGCTCGTTGACTTTGGCCTTAATGGTGCTTTTCTTTGGCCCAGCTTCAGCACCATTCCCATCCCCAGCCTGGTCCATGTTGCCTTCCACAACCCATTCTGCTGGAAGCCAAACAAGCATCAGCTGTTAGCCATTAAAATTTTAATTTTGTGCACCATTTGCCAGCATCTTGGCCCACTGGGCACGGAACCCATCTCGGCAACGTCATCGCCATCGCCATCGCCATTGCCATAGCAATCCCTTCAAAGCCCTTGGCTTGAGCGATTATGTTGATGGCCAAGTCGAGGCTGCTCACCTGCAAGAGCCACGCCCTGCCCGCCGCCGCTGCTCCGCCTCCTTCTGCTTCTTGTCGATAATACGCTCAATTCAATTTGCATATTCAGTTGTCCAATGAAGCGCACACCACACAGCAGCGTTGCGATCCGCCGTCCCTCCAGCTGCCAATTCAATCCCTGCTCCGCCCGGTGGCACGACCAAGCAAATGGTCCCTTTCTGGGCCATCCAGGTTGTTGGCCACTTGAAAGCGCCCAAAATGTGCCGCTGACAGCGGCGCACGCATGAGCTGCCTGAACCGCTCAGGAGCAGCTGGGGCACTGTGCGAAAATGCGCTTTAGATATTAGTTATAGTAATAATTATTCCGAAATACACTGCTTTTACTGCTAGCTAGCACTCTTGGCACCTTACAGCTTAAATGGTGTAGCCCATATTTTCAACTGGTGATTCTTAAACTTAAATTTGATATAGCACTTCTTCGCCATGCACTTCGAGCACCCAGATCCGGGTCCTGCTCCCTGAATCCTTCTTCGCCGAGTCGTCCTCACCTGCTGTTAGTCCATTACGCTAGCAATTTAACTTGCGCCACGTAAACATGATTATCATCTTAAGTGCAGTGTGTGCGTGCAGCGGGTGGGAAAACTTGGAAGCCAACTGCGGATTGTAAGCTCGTTGGCTGGCTGTTTAACAACTTTCAATCTGCTTAAAACTGCAATTAATTTAAACGGTTTCTTTTTTGCCCCATTATAGCCGAAAACAGGGTGCTCGGACCACCGCCACCCAATCGCAATCCGGATTCCAATCCGGTTAGAGTGCCGCTACCCTAATTGAGGTTGTGAGAATCTGCCATCAGCAGGCAGAGCGTGTTTTGGCCAGGACACCTGTGAGGGATTCAGCTCGCAGGCGGCACTGGTGTCCCGTCCAGGCCTTGGATGTGGATTCCGCCCTTGTCACCTGCACGTGGTGGGCGTGGCGCTGTCCAGTGCTGATGCTGATCCTGATGAAGCAGATTGCAGCTGATTGAGCCGCACGAGAAGTCGCCCACATCCACATCATGCATATCCCTCGCTGGAGTTGCGACACAATTGCAACAGCCGCTTGATTAATTTGGGGGCGGATCCGAGTTGAAGCCGAGTTGTGGGCGTGGCTGCTACGCAACACCATTTTAAAGTACCGCTGCGATGGATATTCCCAGGATATCAAGTCATTGAGGGTATGACTGACTAATTGCTGGTAAGTCTAAGGTGGCAAAAAAGTTGTCTAGAACTAGCAAAGCTTGATTTCTATATTTTTCATTGGCAAATATGTGTAGTTTGTAATATTACACTAGGGTATTTGTAAGTCTACCCGTTTTCTTAAGCCTTTTTAGCACTCTCACTTGTTTTACCACTTGACATGGTAAATACGAAGCCGAAAAACAAGGACCAAAGGCACAGAGTCCATCAGGCAGACAGTGAAAAAAGGAGAAAGCTTACTCACGACTACAACTGCATTTATGCAAATATGAATATAGATATACTCACACACACACAGAGTGAGGGGCAGACAGACAGTCAGACAGAAAGAGAGGGCATCACAAAGTACCGTTGACGAACCCATTATCAGGAAAACAAACCGGAGATTAACTTGGCAAAATGTCTGCAGACGTCAAAAAAATCCAGAGTGGCCAGCAAGTGCGAGCGAGAGGGCAGCAGTTGGATAACCACCAGATGCTGAATAAAATATGAGCACACACACACAGATGAAAGCGAGCGAAAGAGACGGCGAGAGGATGCAGACACACGCATTTGGTCCTGCAAAAGTGACACATGAGCGTAATAACAGCTAAGACCTTGCTAAGCATCCGGCAGTCAACAACCACTTGCTGGATGCCCATCCCATGCACTGCCACATCCACAGCCACATCCTCGCCTCGTCCTGGCTGCCATCTCGTCCTGGTCGAGCGTGCCATCCCCTCCTGGTTTTCGGGCCGCCGCTGCACTCAGCGTGATTACAAATTATAACGTCTGAGCAATCGCCGCAGTTCTGCGACTGTGTGTGTGTGTATTAAGGGGCGGTCCCGGTTACCGCCCATAGGAAATATAACTCTTCAACTTTTGCTATACTGAGGGAAAATGGATAACAGAGTTGCTGAAAGAAGGTAGGTGAACATTAAATTAAATTAAGGGAACTATACTTTACATTTATGAAAAATACTTTTAGACACCTTAAAAAGTAATTTAAATTATGTAGAGATCACTTTTAAAAAGTAATTTAAATTATATAGAGATCATTTTTAAAAAGTAATTTTAATTATATAGAGATCATTTTTAAAAAGTAATTTAAATTATATAGAGATCATTTTTAAAAAGCAATTTAAATTATATAGAGATCATTTTTGAAAAGTACTTTAAATTATATAGAGATCATTTTTAAAAAGTAATTTAAATTATATAGAGATCATTTTTTGAATTTGTTTAGTTAGTTAGTTAAATCCTATTATAAAATCTTTATGTTCTGCCTTAATATTGCAAATATAGTTTAAGGACCAGCTCCTTTATAGTGAGCTTGGAAATTATTTAACAGAAAGAGACTAATCAAAACTTGTTATTCCTGTAAAATACCAAATTGAAGATATTTAAATCGGTTGCACAAAATGTGCTGATTTCTACTGAAGATAGCAGTTATTTTTCAAGTGTATCTCGATGAAGCCGCCGGCTGCGTTTTTGGCTTTGGGTTGAGCATTGGTTGGCAAACGGTTAACGAATTTGTTAACGCACTCACCGCTCGCCAGATTCCCTTCCCCCTTCGTCCTGATCCGCCGTGTGCCCGTTGGTGGTTGGCCAGACAGGATGCCCGGGCTGCTAACCTTGCCCCTGGTTGGTCCTGCCACTCCCTGCTCCTGGAACATTGCAACCCCGCTCCTTCATCCCCTGCAGGCAGCCGCATCCGCTGCCCCTGGCCTCTGCTTAGATAATTCCGTTAGCTTGCAGTGCTTTCGTTGTTGTCCTAATAACTTAATTATGTATTTGCCAGCAAAGTGCTCTAAGCGTTTTTTGTGCAGCATTTAAAATGGCGTCTGCAGCCCCCGGAAGCAAAAAGCTGGGAGCTGGACGGGGGTCACATGGGTCATCCGTCTGGCGCGCATTTTCACTCTAAGCCCAAAAGCACTCTGCGAATTGGGGGCAGAAGTCAAGGTGAACAAGTGTGCTCGGCGTGTGTTTCTCTAGAGCTTTTAAAACAATGGTATAATTGTGTGAAACTATGGTGTAAAACATTTAGTAATGACTGTATAATGTGAAAGGTTCTTTTTTAAATCTGCTTGGCTTTAAGGAAAATGGTTCTATTTGCCACATTTTAATTCTGGTCTCCTGGAAAAAAATGTATTTTAAACCACATATCCATGGCAGTCCTTGTATTTAATTCCCCAGGGCATACAGCATCATAAAATGTTTTTACCTCTCACACTGGTACTTACTCCAAATTGTTCAGGCACTCAACTGCTTAGACCCGCTTGCCCCCAATTTGAATAATAATAACACGAACTATTTCGGGCAGCAATTGAGCAACCTTTTCGCTATCAGGACATGATGTCCTGGCTCCTGCAACTTACTTTTACTACTCCACTAGTTTTATGGCCACTTTCGCTCGGAATCGCGCGACTGGGTGGCTTACAGTGGGTGGGTTGTGTGTTGTTTGTTGCGGGGGTGGCACGTGGCAGAGTGCGCGATTTTTCAAGGCGCAAGGTCAAGCCGAAGTAACCTATTGTGGCCCACGCACATCCTGCCGCCGAACACAGACCTAAATCCTTTTTGATTAAATTCAATGGTTTATATCCAATATCCCCCCGAACATTTTATATGTCTTTGAAACGCATTTTTCTCGGCAAAATCCTTTTCTTTTTTTTTTTTGCTTTTGCTTCTCTGGTAGAAACATGGACACACACACAGGACACACCCACTCTCACGCGGAGACATAAAACAAAATGGAGACAGGCGACCGGAGGAGAAAATAGATTGAAGTGTAATCATGGTTTTGAACTGCTCCTCGGTCATACATTTAATCTGAGCCAACGTAGCAGACACAAAATGGCCAAAAACGGCCAACGAAATGGGAGAAAAAGAAAGCGTTTAGACTGCCTTTCCTGCTTTTTGGTTACACTGGAAACTATACTTTTGTTAGGCAACTAAAGCCTCAGAGAGTCTCATAAATGCACTAGTTCTAAAACCCCTTAAAAGTATATACGAATTTTAATAAGAAGATCTTCCTTAACTTTTTTGGAAACTTCTTTCAGTATCCATTTTGAGAAAATTTATAGAAGTGTGACTAGTCACATATATAAAACAAAAGACATTGTAATTGGAG